CTGCCGCTTGCCAGCTACGCCTCGGCCGGCGCAGGGGGCGGCACCCCGCATACGCGGCGCTCCCGGGCAGGGAAAGTCCTTGACTTATGACCGGTTGGGTAGTCCTTGACTTATGACCGGTTGGGGGGGTCACGGCATTAAAAAGGTTGAGAACCACTGATATAGGGTGTCCTGCTCTAACAGACTCAGGGCTGGAAGGAACATCCGAAGGTCATCTAGTCCAACCCTTTGCTTAAGGCAGGAGCCTTATAGCATCCCAGTCAAACGGTTGTCCAATTTTGAAAACCTCCAAGTGAAACACAGATTTCCACTCCTGAAGTGGAATGGCTGAAGAGCCTGTGGAAAACAGACAGGATTTTTCTCCAGGGCAGGATGCAAGAGGCACTTTCAGCACAAACCAGTATTTCTGGAAGCCAGCACAATACTGTGGCATCAGTGACAATTTTAAGGGGTGATTGTGTGCAAGGCTAACTCCAGTATCCTAATACGGGCTTTTAAAAAGAAAAAATTAATATTTTTTTTTAAAAAAAACACCAAAGCATTAACTTCCTTCAAACAAACACATCCCTTTTTGTTTAAAAGCTTTTTTTTTTTTTTAAATATGCACCCATCAAGCTATGCACTTTTTTATCAGCTGGGTGTTTTTTGAGTTTGTTTAATTTCACTTTTATCCTAATAGTGTATGACTTGTGGCAAAAGAAAGGAGTAATAGTAGTTCTTTATTTCTGTCCCCTCTCTCTCCCCCCACCCCAACAGTTTGTGGTTTTCAAGCTTGCAGGAAGCAGTAGTTGGCCCAATCTAAACGTTTAGATTTGTATTTTTTAAAAGAAAAAAAAACAACAACTAGAGATTCTCCAAAAATCTAATTCTGCAGCCAATGCCATGTTCCACAAGTTCACAGCATGCACTATTCCTATTGGTGCGTGTGCGTTTTTCAAAGCTTCGGAATCAGGATTATATTATCGTATCAGGCAAATCAGAAACTTTACATACGTTTCCATATAGAATTAAAGCAAGCTAGGAAATCAAGTCAGGAAAAACAGGGCACCTCTAGATTTAAATTGAAGGGAAATAAATAAAAGCAGGCTAGATTAAACTGGACACACACACACACAGAGGCCAAATTGGGTTTTGCAAGTACAAGAGAACCAGCATAGGATGAAGGAACATAGGTAAACATCTATTTTCTGAAGCAGCTCAGGGTCATTACTTGACCTCACCTCCAACATAAATTCAGCTACAATGCCTACCTTAGCAAAGAACTTTTACTGATAGTCCTTGACTTACAACTGTTCATTTAGTGACTGTTCAAAAGTTACAATGGCAATGACAAAAATGACTTATGACCAGTTCTCAGTTACCACCTTTGACAAAAATCCAGATGTTTGGCAACTGGTTCATATTTACGACCTTTGCTGTGTCCTGGAGTCACATGATCCCTTTTGCGACCTTCCCAGCTGGATTCTGACAAGCAAAGTCAATGGAGGGAAGCCAGATTCGCTTAGTAACCAAATGACTCACTTAACAACTGTGGCAAGAAAGGTCGTCAATGGAGAAGCCAGTTTCACTTAACCACCCAGGATACTCATGTAACAACTGCAGGGATTCACTTAACAATTGTGGCTTGAAAGATCGTAAAATGGGGCAGGATTCACTTAACAACAGAAATATTGGGCTCAGTTATGGACGTAAGTCGCAGACTACCTGTATTACCCAAACACAGGTAGTCCTCAACTTACCACCATTCAATGACTGTTCAAACTTACAATGACTCTAAAAAAAAGGAACCTATGACCAGTCCTCACATTTACGACCATTGCAGCATCCCCATGGTCATGTGATCAAAATACGGGTGCTTGGCAACTGATTTGTATTTATGATGGTTACACTGTCCCAGGATCCCCTTTTGTGACCTTCCCAGCTGGATTCTGACAAGCAAAGTCAATGGAGGGAAGCCAGATTCGCTTAGTAACCAAATGACTCACTTAACAACTGCGGCAAGAAAGGTTGTAAACTGGGGCAAAACTCATGTAACAATTATCTTGCTTAGTAATGGAACATTTGTGTTCAATAGTGGTCATAAGCCAAGGACCCCCTGTATGCTCTCCCCCCCGCCTTCCCCAGTGTTACCAAAATATCTCTGCTTCCCCCCAAATATACATATTGATTGCACCCATATCCCAAAATTCATAATGGACCACCAAGTTATGAAATCTCAAAACCCTTTATTGTTTTCATTTTCTTTTTGTACATTCTTAAAATGAACGACACCCCATTTTCTTTGATATGTACAAGAATCTGAATAAGGCTATATATATATATATATGTATATATACATACATATACATATATGAAACAACCCTCAAGCATGTTACTGCTTTATATTGACCCCACAAAGAAGAGGTTATTCATTCCAGATCCCGCTTTGGGGTTCATGGCAGCATCCCTTAAGTCAGCTTTTTTTGGGGGGGGGTCTACATGCAAATCTGTCTCTTTGGGGAACTGAGTCACCTCTGTCTTAACAGAGTGGAGAGCAAGGCAAATACATCCATAAAGATTTGAAGCACAGCTGAGGGGAGACATGGCTGCGTTGCAAGATTCCCAAATATTTTTTTTTTGTTTACTCCAAGGCACCATCATCCTGCAGGATCACTTTTGTTGATCCTCTTCCATGGAGGATCCAAACCTTCCCTTGCAAAAGCAAGGAGGTGGGATTACTTAACAAGATGGGGGGAAAGAGTTGTCTGGGCGGGAACGGGCACAAGGAAAGGACAACAGTTGTGTGGACAGAAATAAAAAAAAAAAGGATGCCCGCTCCCTGTTTACGTTTCCTTGAAAACAGCAACAGGCACTTTTAAAAAAACCCTTCGGATCCCACCCACCCCTTTAATTCCCAAACCTAATGGGGGTTTAATGGCCACGAGGGTCCAACCTTTTGGCTTGCTTGGGCTGCACTGAGTGAAGATGATTTTTTTATTTTATTTATTTGTATCCTGCCTTTTTTACGTTTACAAAGAACTCAAGGCAGTGAACATATTCAACTCACTTTCTTACTACTACTACTTCCTCACAACAACCCTGTGAGGTGGGTTGGGCTGACAGGGAAAGGTCACCCAGCTGGCTTTCATGGCTAAAACGGAACTTGAACTCACAGCCTCCTGCTTTCTAGCCTGTTTCCTTAACCACTAGACCAGGGGTAGGCAACCTTGGCTCTTTTATGACTCGTGGACTTCAACTCCCAGAATTCCTGAGCCAGCACGGCTCAGCTTGGAAACCTCTCCCTTTCCCCTCAGCATGGCTTGCTCAGGAATTCTGGGAGTTGAAGTCCACGAGTCATAAAAGAGCCAAGGTTGCCTACCCCGGCCTAGACCAAACTGGTTCTGGAATCATCTTGGGTGGCCTATAAAATACATACAGGTAGTCCTCGACTTACAACCATTTGCTTAATGACCGTTTGTTACAACGGTCACATGATCAAAATTCAGACACTTGGCAACTGCCGTGTATTTATGATAGCTGTGTTGCCCCGGGGTCATGTGATCAATGTTTGTAACTTTCCCAGCCGGCTTCCTAGCAAGCAATTCAATTCGCTTAACAATCACACATTTCAGTTAACAACTTCAGCGATTCAGTTAACCACCAGGGCGAGAAGGGTTATAAACTGAGGCAAAACTGCCGCCATTTTAACAACACAACATCTATCGCTACAGTTACCAAGGGAATCGTTTGGTCACTAAGCAAAACTCACTTAACGACGGTCTTGCTTAGCGACAGAAATTCGGGGCTCAGTTGCGGTCATAAATTGAGGACTACCTGTAGTACAGTTAATGTGTATAAATCACATAACGTTAAAAGATTACAGACTTGTGAGGTGGCATTGTTAGCTGTCCAGGCCTGCAGGCTGGACAAGCCTGAACTAGGCCGAAGCCTATCCTTGGGTTTGGTTTTTTTTTTTTTAATAGTTTCCTGAAGCATTGTTATAAAGGGAAAGTCTTTGGTGGGGCGGGCAAAGATAGATAGAAAAAATCATCTTTTGCCACTAGTGGTGAGGATGACATTTTGTACAGACACCCGTCAACCATCCATGGGGTAGCAAGCCCCGAAAACGTACGCGATCCCCTTTTTTTCTAGGTTAGAAGACAACGGCAACACAACAGACGAGTTTTAACAACAAGGATGCCTCAATGATCCCGCGCTAACCATTTACAGCGGGCATGTCAAAGCTTTCGACTTGCCTGGGCTGCATTGAGTGAAGAGGAGTTGTCTTGGGCAGCATATAAAATATTTAATATAGTTAATATATAAAAGGGAAAGGTCTTCCTGTCCAGTTGTGTCCAACTCTCCGTTTCTTGGCTGAGGGAGCCAGCGTTGTCTGAAGACAATTTCCGTGGTCATGTGCCCAGCATGGCTATGCGCCAAAGGCGTACGGGAAGGGGTTAAGAGGGACAGAGAACATATGGCTAACTCTCTTTTTGATCCACTGGGGGATTAAAAAGTGTATTGTGCTTAAGATTGCTAATTGCAAGTGTGTGTGTGTGTGTGTGTGTGTGTGTACGAAATAACAGGATGGCCGCTTCCATAAGATAATAAGGGTAGCCTTATTATCTCCTGCAAAGCTCCCCCCAATACACCATATTTTTTTGGGGGGGGCAATCTTAATTAAAAAGGTCCTGAGGCTTATAGTATGTGGGGCGGGAGAAAGAGGAAAGAGAACCCTTAAAAACAAACCTGGCATATTAATTTTTAGAAATCCTCCCCTTGCAAAGAGGTTTTACATATATATAATATATATATATATATATATTTAGATTTAGATTTATATAATGCATATAGACAAGTAAAAACTTCCCCGCCCCTACGTATTTTTTTTTTCTGGCTTCCAAAGAAAGAGAAGAGCATGTACAGAGTTCCAGGCCAAGGAAGGAAGAAAAAAGAAAGGAAAGTAGAAAGATAATCTCTGAGTTAAGGCAGCAAAGTCAGCCCACCCACCCACCCCGTCATCAGTCCATCTGTCCAGAGGGAGGGAGGGCTGTACGTCCCCGTCTAGCAGTCCCGATTCTCAAGGGTCAGCTCTGCTGTGGCCTGCTGCAGCTCCGTGCTGATCCGCCGGCCTCCCACTGCGTCCCCGTGACCAACAGCATCCTCCTCACCCTTCACTTTCTTGTCGTCTGTTTGGTCGCCTGTCCCGCCGGCTTCCAGCCGCTGATCCTCACTCCAACGGCGTTTGAAACGTAATTTGAGGGGAATGCATTTGCCGCTCTCCCCGGCCCGAGACACGGGGGGCGCCAAGGCTGAAATCTCCCCATTTTCGATCTTCTCCAGGGGGACCGAAGGGGCCTTAAAGACCTCCTCGTCATCCTCGCTGATATCGGTGACCTCCACCGTGAGGTCTTCCTCAGACTCTTCTTCCGAGATGGGTTCCACTTTGATCTGGGGGACGAGGGGCTCCGGAGCAGCTGCAGAAGAGGAGGAGGAGGAGGCAGGAAGACCACTGCTGGAGTCTCCCGGGGGCACAGCTGGAGCTGGCGGAGGCTGCTTGTCACGGTTGCGGCGCCCCAACGGTGGCGGCTGCAGCTTGAATTTGAAAGGGCTGGGGGTCTCCTCAGCCTGTGGGGGCGGAGGGGGAAGAGGGGGCTTCTCCAGGCGCTGGGGCTGCGGGATGATAATGTTGGGGTAGTGGAGGAAGGCCCTGGGACTGAGATGGTAGTTGTATACACTCTGGGTGTGCGCTTGGAGGTAGCGCTTCATGTCCTCGGGGTTGAAGGAGAAGTGGGAGCCGCTGGGATACATGGGGCTGAGGGTGGGCGAGGGAGTGTAATTCATGTGAGTGGGGGTGAGGGGCAGGGCAGGGGACATCTGGGGGGGCAGGAGAGCAGCAGGCCCAGTCATGGGGGACACGGGGAAGGGGCTAAGAGGCTCAGGAACCCGCGGGCGAGGATAGATCCTAAAGAGGGTGTCGTGGGTCAAACGTGGATGGCCGGGCAAGGGGGGACCACGGAATCCACCTGCCTCTCCTCCACCACCACGCCGCTGCTCTTCGGCCAACGATTCCTCGACTTCTGAATTGGCTGAGGTGCCGTCGCTGCAGTCGCTGACCGAACCCCGAGCGAGGCGGCGAGCCACGGCGGAGAAGACCCCAGGCGAACGCAGATCCTCGGCCGGTGACAAGACATCGGATGGGGTGGAAGGGGGAAAGCGGAAGTGTGACCCACCCGAAGGCACAGGTGGGGCACTTTGGGGCACGGCCCCACCTACAAGGAGGAGGAAAGCAAACCAGGGAAATCAGCGTCACAAGAAATGAGGGTGAAAACATCTAAGAGGAGAACTAACCTCCCTCTCCATCCAACCACTCCTTTCTCAAAGTCCAGGTGGGCAGATTCAGCTCAAGGAAGCAAGACCAGTGACCTGTTAAATATCTACCCCATTTGTCAAAGGCCTTTTCCGACTCCCTTGTCAGGCACCAAAGCTCAGGTCCCCATGTGAAAGTCCAATCTAACTGATTAGTTGCTAATCCTGAATTTTCTCAGCTAACTTTCGGCACCTGCTTAAAGTGAGACAAGGGTCAACAACATTCAAAAGGGGTTGGATTTTGTCTGCGTGTTAGCTATGTAGGGATTCTAGGCTGATACCCCTTTTCACTCTCCCTCCAGATACTGCCGTCCCTTTTCCTAGTATAGTAGATTGGGGATGTCCAACCAAGGCAACGTTTAAGACTTTAAAAGACCTTTAAGACCTTCAGGAGCATCTAAGACAGGGGTGTCCAACCTTTGCAACTTTACAACCTACAGCCATGGCTGGCTGTGGAATTCTGGGAGTTGAAGTCCATAGGTTGTAAAGTTGCCAAGGTTGGACAGCCCTGCCTTAGATGCTCTTGAAGACATTCCTTGGTGGAGAACCAGGGTGATCATGGAACAAACAGAGCATGGGAAATCAATGGAAACCTCCCTTGAAGTCCACAAGCTTGGACATTCCCACTCTAGAACTTTTGAACTGGCCACATCCTGGACTGTATTCTTGCTAGACAAACACATTTGTCTCCCAAATGGTCATCTTCCCCAGGACCAATCAGCCTATTACCCCCCAAAAAAGAGAACTCAGAATTTAACTTGCAATTCCTTCCTTTCACCTCTATGTTAAAAAAAACCTTCCACCTATACCAGTGGTTCTCAACCTTTTTAATGGCGCGACCCCCAACCGGTCGTAAGCTGAGGACTACTTAACCGGTCGTAAGTCGAGGACTACTCAACTGGTGCAGCACCGTTGGCAGAATGGGACTTTTGGCGGGCTCAGCAGGGCAAAGACAGCCTGGACAATTCCTATTGGCTTTTGAAAGCCAATAGAATTAGATTCTATTCAAGAGAGTCTATTCTATTGGCTTTCAAAAGCCAATAGAATAAAAGGGAGGAGCACAGCTAAGGAAAAGGGGGAAAAAAATGGCGGACTGCGTTGTTTGGCGACCCCCGTGAAATGGTCGCTCAACCCCAAATGGGGCCCCGACCCACAGGTTGAGAACCACTGACCTATACTCTGTTTCCAGCACAACTACAGGGACACTCCCGTTCCAAAGTTAAATTATTTGATGGGAAAATTATCTTCCTTCCTTATGGGTCGATATATTTTTCCATAAGTAAAATAAAGACCTTTGAACCTCTCTCTCTTTTTTTTTTTCCTTTGGGGCACACCCAATAGACCCATCACGATGTAGATGCCTGCGTGTCTGTGGTCGGGCGTCGCTCATTTTTCCAGCGGTACTAAATGCTTTAAACTTAAGTTTCTTTGGCGTTCTAGCCCTGGGTTCGAGAACGTCTGCAGAAGAGCAGAGAGAAGATTGCCCAGAGGTAATCTGCTCTGCAGGGCTTCCAACCATGCTTACCTGCCATGCCCATATCAATAAAAGGGTAGTTGACCAGCACCAGTTTGTTAAAGTTGAACTTGTAGGTGAAACGTTTTCCTTTGGTCTTGTGCAGGATCCGCTTGTTGTAGTAATATCTGCAGGATCGTGAGGAAGAGGAGGAAGAGAGGGGTCAGTGACTCACAAGTCCTACTTCTCCCCCACCATCAAAACCAAACTCGGGAGTCTGTGGGTGTCTGCACAGCCTCGAAAGGAAGTGTTACAGCCTCAGCAAGTGTGAAGCAGCATCTGTTCGTACGGGGAAAAAGCGATGCTTCTTGTCCCTGTGATTGCAAAGGGATTTGGTAACAGCCTTGTAAATAGCCACTAGCCCACAAACTTTGCATAGGAACAACTGCCTATTACATAAAGATGAGAAACCAGTCTAAGCAAATTATTAGCCTTGGGGCATGTGTACATTTTCTACCCCTCCAGTTATGAGGTTATTCCTCTATTATACATGTGGAAAAGAGGGATTTATTGGTGTCTATAAGCTGACGTTGGTTTGCATCGAGTTTCCAATCCGAATCATTCTTTTTAATGGAATGGCACACACACCCCTCGGTCAATAGCTGTGAGTTGGATTAGGACAGGGGTAGGCAACCTTGGCTCTTTTATGACCAGTGGACTTCAACTCCCAGAATTCCTGATGGGAAAGGGAGAGGTTTCCATGCTGGCTCAGGAATTCTGGGAGTTGAAGTCCACCAGTCATAAAAAAGTCAAGGTTGCCTACCCCTGCCCCTCGAACTAGGAGGCACCCAGTCATAAAAGAGCCAAGGTTGCCTACCCCTGCCCCTGGACTAGGAGGCACCCATTCCTAGAGGTAGTCCCTAACTTACAACCATTTGTTTAGCAAAGTTACAAAAGCACTGAAAAAATGTGACTTATACAACTTAATCCTTGCACTTAACAACCACTGCAGCACCTCCATGATCAAAGTCAAGAGTGCCTGGCAACTGGCATGTATTTACAAGTATCGCAGTGTCCTGTGTGTGTGTGTGTGTGTGTGTGTGTGTGTGTGTGTGTGTGTTGTCATCGCCATTTGCAACTTTCCCAGGCAGCTTTCGACAGGCAAAATCAATGGGGGCGGGAAGCCCGACTCGCTTAACAACTGCAGTGATTCGCAATCACTGGCAAAGCAAGTCACAAAAGCGAGCATGACTCACTTAACTTCCGCCTTGCTTAGCAACAGAAATTCGGGTCCCAACTGTGTTTGTAAGTTGAGGAATACCTGTACTCCTATCATTTTAGGTGATCTTATATAGGGGGGCTACATCTAATTTTTCCCAAGTTGTATTCCACCAACAGCAGAAACAGTCTCACCAGCAGCATTCCACAATTTCAGATAGGAATCTTTTTCCAAGCTATACAGGAGACATTTGTGAATGCAATACAGGTAGTCCTCAACTTACGACCACAATTTGTTGAGTTTTGACCCATTTTACGACCTTTCTTGCCACCGTTGTTAAGTGAATCACCGCAGTTGATAAGTGAGCATCACGGTTGTTAAGCGAATCTGGTTTCCCCATTGACTTTGCTTGTTATGAGGTTGCAAAAGGGGATCCCAGGACCCCAGGAAACTGCAACCGTCATAAACGTGAGTCAGTTGCCAAGCATTTGAATTTTGATCACGTGATCATGGGGATGCTACAAAGGTGTGAAAAATGGTCCTAAGTCACTTTTTCCAGTGCCGTCGTAACTTTGAGCGGTCACTAAATGAACTGTTGTTAAGTCAAGGGCTACCTGTACAGTTCCCCTAGTTTTGTTAAGTGGAAAATTTATAAAGTAACCCAACAAACTAAATCAGCACCTAAACAAACAAAAACTGGTCTTCACTGAATTAGCCCTTGAACGTAACGTAAACTCCTGCCATATCTTGCATGGAACGTGTGCTTAGAATCGTAATCACCCTATTCAGACAGCGATAACGCTCTCAGCTGCTTGGGAAACGAGGGGAATAAAAAAAGATTTTCCACCCCTAAAGTTTTATTCTCTCTTGCAAAACATCCCCAATTTATTTTTCATCGGAGCACTGCAAAGTGAGCCAAGCTTTCCATATTTTTGCGAGAGAAGGGCTGGGCCAAGTGGCACGTGCATGTGTACATCCCTGGATGCCTTGCATGCATGCCTGTGTGGGCATGTTTCTAAGCCCTAAATTAAAAAGCTGCAGAGAGCCCCACTGGCTGAATTTTGCAGCCGTTCCTTTCCCACCATCCCCGCTGGCTTCTCACCAGGTGCTCACCCCTCGCCTTCCAAATTCCTGGAATTTCTGCCCGTCTCACCTCAGGGCCCGGCTCAGCTTGTCGTAGTTCATCTGAGGCTTGCATTTCCTCACCCCCCAGAGCCGGGCCACTTCGTCGGGATCCTTGATGACAAACTCGCCGTAGTCCCCTTGCCAGGCGATGACGTCATGGTACTCTTCCTTCCGCAGCAGCTCCAGGATAAAGTGCCAGAGCTGGATCTGACGGGAACCGGGACTCGACTCCGGTTTATAGGCCCAATCCGGGAAGGCGAACCCTGCCAAGGAGAAGGGCAGCCAAGGAGAAGGGCAGCGTTAGCCAGCTCGGTCTGGGAAGGGAGGGGCGTGTTTCCAAGACAGGGTAGCCAAGAGCCCACCACCCCGCCACCATGCCCCCCCCCCCTCAGCATAGAAGAGTTAGAAGCAAAGTGCCGGCAATTCCCATACGCGGATCCTCTGGCTGCATCTGATCAGGACATGTTGGCAGGAGCCCTGGGTGGCTCAAAGCCACCCCCCACCAGGATGCAACGGCTGTGGCGGCGGCATGTGGATTTTAGCCACCCCCCCTCCCCAGTGTGCCAGGGGAGGAAAAACAGGAAACCTTCCGCAAGTCGTCGCCGCCTCTCCCCCTCTGCAGCCAGGAGGCTGGGAGGGCAGCCAAGCCACCTCACGACTTCCAGGCTGGGCCCTCCAAGCGTGGGAGGGCAGGGGCAGCCAGCTCGAAGGAAAGCCTCCCTGCCTGCAGGACGGAGGACAGCATCCCAGTCACCCCCGATGCCCCAACCCTGGCGCCCGGGCTTTGCACGTCCTACCCAGCAGCGCCACGGCTTGCAACCTGTCCTGGGCAGCCGAAGGGTGCTGGAGGGCGACCGGGTGGAACCAGCAGCAGAAAGGGGCGAAGGAGAAGGTCTGAAAAGACTCCCCCAGCCCAAGGAAAGAGTTGGCCCCCGTTATGGCCTAGACAAGCACCGGGCGTGTTTAGAAGTGGGGGAACGGGGCCCCGGGAGGGCCTTTGTGCCATGTTCTCTCCCCGGGCAGCGCATACATGAGGAGGGGCAGAAGGGGGAATGGTTCTCAGCTGAGGTCAGCAACTTCAAGACAAGGCTTTCTTTTTTTCCCCAACGCGCAAGCATTCCTGGGGAGGGGAGGGGGGGGCAGAGAAGCCACCACTGCTGCCCCCGCCCCCATCGGCTTTCCCCCACAAAGGCCGGACAATAGCCAGGGCTGTGGAAGACCCCAGATGGTCATCGGTGTCCCCCCCCCCCGCCCTCCAAACTGGGGAAGGAACAAACAGGAGGAGCAGGAGGAACTGCTTGCAAAGCCCCCACCTCTGAAAGTTTTCACAAGGCCCCCTCGCCGCCGCCCCCAAACAGGAAGTCGCAAATAAAGGCTGCCGTGGGTCTCTCCAAGATGGGGGCCTCTCCCATTGTTTCATAAACAATCTTTCCAGCACAGCAGTCAGAAATGCTGGCTCTCCTCCCCTGGGGAGGCAAGGAGGAAGCTGTCCTTTCTCAGCCATTTGGGGAGGGGGGGTCCCCCTTCCCAAATGGCTGGCTGTGTCTCAACAGTTCTGGTTGGGCCAAACTAACTCAACACAACGCGCGCGCACACACAGACACGCACCCAAAACAAGGCAGTCATTCATATCTCAGGGTGTGCAGCCAGTATCCTAAGATTTTTGACACTAGACCCTCTTGCTCTAAAATGTAGTAGTAGTAGTAGTAGTAGTAGTAGTAGTAGTAATAATAACAACAAATTCGCTATTAGTCAATTGCAAAAGGCGGCCTTACTAGGAACTGCTTCCATCCTGCGACGACATCTGTAATACCATCAAACATCCACATCTGCCTATCCCAGGTCCTGGGTAAGGACTCGATAGGTAGACAAAATGCCAAATCCAGTCTGAACATCTGGCTGACTGTGCGATGATCCATAATAAGATGTAGATGTAGATGAAGATGAAGAAGGAGGAGGGGAAGGAGGAGGAGGAGGAGGAGGAAGAAGAAGAAGAAGAAGAAGAAGAAGAAGAAGAAGAAGAAGAAGAAGAAGAAGAAGAAGAAGAAGAAGAGGAAGAAGAAGGAGAAGGAAGAAGAAGAAGAAGAAGAAAGGGAGGAGAAGAGGAAGAAGGAAGAAGAAGAGAAGAAGAAGAAGAAGAAGAAGAAGAAGAAGAAGAAGAAGAAGAAGAAGAAGAAGAAGAAGAAGAAGAAGAAAGAAAAACATCCACATCTGCCTATCCCAGGTCCTTGGTAAGGACTCAATAGGTAGACAAAAATGCCAAATCCAGTCTGAACATCTGGCTGACTGTGCGATGATCCATAATAATAATGATGATGATGATGTTGGAAGGGACCTTGGAGGTCATCTAGTCCAACCCTCTGCTCAGGCAGGAAACCCCACCTTTCTTAAAAGAGCTGTGGACTTCAACTCCCACAATTCCCCAACCTGCATCAAAATACACAGGCAGTCCTAGCCTCGCGATCACAAGCGAGCCCAACAGTTACGCTATTACGGGAGACATTTGTTTTGCCTCATTTTATGACCTCCTTTGCCACGACTGTTAAGTGAATCGCTGCAGTTGTTAAGTGAGTCTAGCTCTCCCAATGCCTTTGGCTTGTCAGAAGCTTGCGAAAGGGGGTCACGTGACCCCAGGACATTTCAACGGTTGTAAGTACGAACCAGTTGCCAAGCGTCTGAATTTTGATCACGCGATCATGGGGGTGCTACAAAGGTTGTAACTGAAAAACGCTTTCAAGTACCGTTCAGTACCATTGTGACTTGGAACGGTCACTAAATGAACTGTTGTAAGTCGAGGACCATCTGTACTTCTCTCTGGAAGAATTGGCCTGCAGTCTTGATTTTCTCCCACAGCCATGTGAAGTCGGTTAAGCTGTGGTAGCAACTGATCAAACATTGCAAGAGCTCCCATGCTGGGCAGACGACAGAGGTTGCTGTTTCTCTGAGCCCACTAAAGTGTGAAATCACAAGTGTTCTTTTGTTAAAGCCGGGTAAAAGGCTTTCAAGTATTGTGTCATGCAGGCAGTCTTCAACATACAACTGTTTTTGTAGCGGTCCTAAAGCAAACGAGCAGCTGTAAAAGAAACACTGAGTAGGTTAAGCTAACTCGTGGTTTGCTTTGGCAAAACCACTGTGCAACACAGCCACATTGCTGTGAGGCCCTGGAAACGGCCATAAAATTTAGTCGTGTTGCCAAAGTGCACAAAGTTTGGCTAGCGGACTGCGAAGGGGGCCCGACTGTTGGAACTTCAAACCTGGGTTTTCAAAAAAAAAAAAATTCCCCTTTTCAACGTTGGTCATATGCATTGGCTCCTTTGTAGTGCACAGAGTAAACCTTATAACTTGGCCACTTTAAGACTTGTGGACTTCAACTCCCAGAATTCCTCAGCCAGCTTCGGCAAAGCTGGCTGAGGAATTCTGGGTGTTGAAGTCCACAAGTCTTAAAAGTGGCCAAGGTTGAGGACCCCTGCCCCAAACCTTTAGGGAGCAAAGCTGGCTGGGGAATTCTGGGTGTTGAAGTCCACAAGTCTTAAAGTCACCAGAGTTGAGGACCCTGCCTTATACTGTATACAAGTAGACCTTGAATTACAACCATCCTTTTAGTGACCAAAGTTATGTCACCGTCGCCCGGTCGGTATAAGTCACACAAACCCGCGTTGTGTTCAAGGTTTCCCATCTGGTGCATAGACCTCTGCCGTGGGAGGGAAACTCTGGCTGAGCATGTTGTCTGAACTCAGCCTGCCTGTGGCCCAGGAGATACACACACACACACACACACACACACACACACACACACACACACACACACACGCGCGCGCACACACACACACCATGCTTTTATTTCTCCTTGGCTGAAATTGCTGAGCCTGGGCCCAATACCTTCAGAGAGGGTGTCAGAGCTTGGTGGGGAAGGAGGGAGGGAGGAGGAGGAGGAGGGGGGGCGCTGTGGTTTCCCATTTCCCAAACCCCAGGCGCTCTGAGCCCATCAATAATTCAGGCCCCTGTAATGGAGGCCAGGGACACGGGCGCCCGTTCAAGGGCATCAGCGTTAGACCGAGCCATTAGGATGGTGATGTCATCTTGAACGAGGGGTGGGAGGGCGAGAGCCAAGCCCACATACTGCAACCTGGGGGGGCTGGCATGCCTCAACTGCATCTACCCCGCCCCCCATGCCCACCAAGCACAGAATTGCACTAGGGCCAAATGGAGTGGTACACCCCCCTCCCTTTCAAATGCAATTCAGCATCCTTCCCTCTTCCTTGCTTCTTGGCACTACAAGACCTAAAAAGACCCCCCCCAATACTCTTTCACACACACAACCCCCCCCATACACACACACACACACACACACACACACACACACACACAGACACAGAGGCACGGCACCAGTCTCCAAGCAACAGGCAACGGCAAGAGAGGCAACAGCTAAAAATAAACGGGAGGAAGCAAAGAGAGACAGCACGAACTGGGCAGCACCCCAAGAGTGACAGCCACGAGCACCCCACAAACTGAGCTGTCTTCCAAACCCCGACAAGGAGGAGGAGAAGCACGTGCTGGACGTGGGGACAACTGCCTCCTCAGCTCCAACCCGCCTCCTCAGAGGAGTGCGGCAAAAGAGGGCTGGCGTGGGAAGTTTGCTCCCTCTTGGAGCCCAGGGGAGACGTGAGGACACCGAGTTGCAAGCGCGCACAACACGTGAGTCGTCGGGGCCCACCAAAGCCTCCGGAAGAGGCAATGTTGAGAGTAGGAAGCTGCCTACCATCCATGGGTCTAGCTTACTTAAGGCCTTCACCTGCTAGTTGTGGCGAGCTTGGAGAACAAGAGGTTGAGAGAACGATTGGAGAAGAACAGTAGTAACACATGGACTCTGCTCTTTCTCCATCGTCCGAGTTAACCTATCTCTCTCATGCACACGCAGGGACACATGCACGCGCACACACACACACACACACACACACACACACACGCACACAGAGCCTGTTCTCACTAATTAGCAAGGGAAGAAGGGATGGTGGTGGTGGAGAGACCGTGACATCAGCTGCCCAGCCCCACTGAATGGATTACTGTTCTCAGGCTGGTGCTGCCCGATACGCTGGTGCGGTCTGCCTCTACCATCCAGATGATGCTCCCAGGGTGTAACAGGCCACCCTCCCTCATCTCATGTGACTGTGACAATCATGGCATTCCTCTGCATGGACATCCCGAGAGGCTTCCCCATTGAACTCAAAGCATGGGTCTTTGTTATCACCTGCACACGGGGGGGGAGGGGGCTCTTCGCTAGGCACCGTCCATCAGGAGAGGGGTTTAGGCCCAGTACAACTTTTTGCAAGGCAAAAGAGGGGGGGGGGGTGTGTGGTTCAAACTCATCCTTTCAGTCCTGGTCAAGTGGGACTCCTCACTTCAGGGCCATCTAAGTCAGTGGTTCTCAACCTTTTTAATGCCGCGACCCCCCCCAACCGGTCGTAAGTCGAGGACTACTCAACTGGTGCAGCACCGTTTGCAGAATGGGACTTTTGGCGGGCTCAGCAGGGCAGAGACAGCCTGGACAATTCCTATGGGCTTTTGAAAGCCAATAGAATTAGACTATTCAAGAGAGTCTATTCTATTGGCTTTCAAAAGCCAATAGAATAAAAGCGAGTAGCACAGCTAAGAAAAAGGGGGGAAAATGGCGGACTGCGTTGTTTGGTGACCCCTGTGAAATGGTCGTTCGACCCCAAATGGGGTCTCGACCCACAGGTTGAGAACCACTGATCTAAGTGCACCCAACAGGCTGGGCTCCCACACTGCACCTCTCCATCACGTGGTTTGCGCTAGGGATGCTTATTTAAGACATGATGGGCAAGCAAACCAGGATACATCACAGTGTGCTTTGCATTCCGTACTAGTTCTGTTTTTACACTTTAAAAGGAAAATACGTGAAAAGGTACCCTGCACTTTTTCTGGCCTTCCTCAGGCATGAGAAGGCTACGATCTCTTTTTCTGGACATATGACAGGTCTTATGCATGACCAGAATGCGTACAAAAATAGAAAAGCACTCTATACATAGATGTATATATTTGGCGTCAAAGTCTTCTGGAGTTGCCCATAAGAGTGCTCAATACTCAACAGAATATTAGGCCC